AGCCTAGAGATTAAACCCCTTCTAGGTGGGCGACCAATAAGTTCCATGACTACCGATTGGTCTCATTCATATTTGGGTCAATCGGCCGGACTCTATACCAGGCTATCATGACCTTGTCAATCGGCCGGATTCTATACCAGGCTACCATGGCGATTATACAGGACTATAGCCCCTACCGTCTATTCCATGACTGCTCTGAGCTTTACTTGTCAAAATTCATTTCATATATCATATACATAAATCTTTACTTTCATAAAAGATTCGGCTCATTTTGTATATAAGAGCATATCAAAACTTTTCAAATAAGTCACACGGTCCATTTTTGTATGGTAAAATATAGCTTTCATAAGTATCCAAGTAAAGCATTTAATCAAACACCTTTCGAGTCCACACAACAAAATAGTATTGAAACCAAGGATCTCATTTTGCACATTTGAAATCTCAGAAGGGTAAGTACCACCTACCTTTGTTTAGCTGCTCGAGTGGACTACCTTAGATCCTTGTACCGTACCTATCAAATGCATGAGTTCCCTAATTAGTTGTTACTTTCTATAGATGCATAAATATACAACCTCTAAGTAAGCATAAGGTTCATACCTAGGCCATTAAATGGACCCTAATAGCATCTCCCCCAAATTGGGCGATTTCTATTTTTGGAAGGTTTCCTAACTTGGAAAGTTTCTATTTTTAGAAAGTTTCTTAATTTGGAAAGGTTCTCCTTTTTGTAAAGTTTCCTAATTTAAAATAAAATAATTATTCATAATCATGTTTATTATTTTGACTGTTATCTCACTATACATATTTATAATTAATAATTATTTATTACTATATTATTATCGTACTTGTCGTTGCTACTTTATTTTATTACCACTTATATACATTTAATAATTAGTTATTATCACATTTCACTTTATTCCTACCTTTGTGCGTGTGTAGGTGTCATTATTATTTATGCATATATGTACATATATATATATATATATTGATTTATTATTATAATATTGTCTTAATTTATTACACTTGTCTTTATATTTATATTTTTTGTTTACATCCTTTATTTGTTTCATCCATATTATTATTATTACTATTATTATTATTATTATTATTATTTTAAGCACTTCGTTCAACAATCTAAAGCTTATCTTATATTGTACAACTTAATCTAATAAGGCTAAGTTAACATGTTTTAGATTTCTATTTAAGTACCTTAGACTTAATTAATAAGGTAATATTTTAAATGACTAACCCTCACTTCCAACAATTATATTAGATTGGGTCCTAAACTTTAATATTCACAATATACTATAAAAATGGGCTAGTTATATTTAAAATCTATTTATTAAATATTTACTAAATCTTATATACTATAGTTTGGTCCAAGATTAAATTGCTCCCTCTTTACTTATTTATTTTTGTTTATTGTTATCATTATTTTTTTATTTTATTTTATTTTATTATTAATATTTATTATTAATATATATATTTTTTAATTTCTAGTGGGGCCCATGGTTGGCCATTGGCCAACCATGGCTGACCATAGTCGCCAGAGAGCTTGGCAACCCAATTTCCTCAATTGGGTGGCCGTGAAGGCTAACCCAAATTGCTCCATTGTCGCCAGCTCTTGCTGGCGACAACAACTAATGCTTTTTTTTTTTAATTTTATTTCTTAGCCTTGGGTTGGCCGAATGGCCAACCTTTGGAATTCTTCTTGTGGCGTTGCTTCTGCATCGCCCTGGCCGAAACAGAGCAGCGGCAGCCGCCGCCGCTCTCCCCTTTCCTCTTTTTTTTTTTTTCTTAAACAGATTCAAACACCCCATAAATCAGGATTAAAATCAAACCCCCTCCTATTTCTATTAATCCAGATGTGAAACTTATTGAAACATATATATCTAAACCTATACAGCAATAATACATGTCCATAAGATTTCCTAGAACAATTAATACCACTACTAAAGCGTTTACAACCAAAAAGAAGTTTTCTTACGTGAACTCGAAACTTACAAGTTTAGATGCCTAGTCGTCGGATCGATTAACGATGTCGCCTGCTTCTCCTTCCCTCCTTTCTGACGGCTCTTGCTCTAGGGAGGTAGACGAAAGAGAGGTAAGGCTAAGGTTATTTTTCTGTCTAGGGTTTAGTAAAATTCTAACCCTAGCAATACTCACTAATAGGTGGCTTGGGCCAGAGTTTTACTTTATTAGAGCCCATTAGCCTATCCTACAGTTACTTCATTCTTTTCTTTTACCTAGCAAATTTTATCTTTTTTAATTAATTGGGAAAACAAAATAATAAAATCGGTGCCAAAAGTCGCGGGTTTTACACTCTCAAATTTCGTCTCGTCCCATGAAAATGCTTTCAAAGCAAACGTAATACATCCTTTGCTCGTCTCTACATCGTAAGTGCATCAAATTAAGCACATTTGGATTGAAGAATTTGACGAAAGATTTGAAATTCATTCAAGTCGTTCTACTTATTTGGGTAACTTAAGATGCATTTAGATTTGTAATTTATGAATTACCAAAATATATTTGAAAATGACAATAATTGGTGATTCACAAATTCAAATACCTTTTGAGTAATTTAAACAATTAGAGGGATTTGAGAGGATTTCAAATCTTTCTTCAAATCCTTGAATCCAAACGTAGCTTGAAATTAGAGGAGTAATTAGAGGTCCTGAAGGAATTTTTATTGCTGGAACTAAAATGACCATAGGGCAGCAATCAAACGGCAGAATTACGTGCACTTTTTCTTCTTTTAATGAAAAATTATGCACACTTAATGTAGGACTTGCAATTGGCATTGAACTAATATCTCACCTCTAATTATTCAGTCTGATTCTTAGGTTATTGTGAACATATGCAGACCTCCGCATGCAAACAAACTTGATCATGGAACATGGGATTGTCAGGACATGCACTATTGGTAGATCCTTAAATAAATGACCTGTCTACTTAGCATCCCCTCCTACTTAATATTTTGTCCATGCAAGTTAATGATGTACTAAAACTAAAAACGCCTGGAACAGGTCTTGCACATAATTGTGTTGTAGTAATGGAATTCTTGTTCATCTCAAACATGTATAATGGTGCCTTAATAGTGTTAGAGGCATTGGCGCCTACTATATACACCATCTAACCTTCATCCCTCAGTTCTAATACTGTCCCTTCAATTTTATCTTCCTTTGATAATGGGTCACGTGCTTTGCACGTGATCATATATCATGATATATGATATTCCTTATATACTAATTTTTGGCAAAATTTTATTGTCAACATCATAATTTAATATGTGCACATTTTCATCTTTCTTGACGAATCATTTTTAAAACTTTATTTTATATTAACTGGAGGTATCACCTACTTGTTAAATTTTCTCTAGAGAATTTTTTTGAATTTATTGTGGATTTTTTTTATAGCTTGTTAAGCAAAAGATAATTGTTTGGACAAATAATGTTCGTTTGCTCTACCATCATTATTTTTTCTGGTTTGAAAGTTGAATATGTTAGTACTTTGATGTAATTTTTCAACATGAAGTGATATGCATTGTTTTTGAAAAATGAAGGGATGTACATACATTCTTTAAAATTGAACTCTTCTGCATTCTTTTGTATGATGTTTCTGTTACTAATGGAGTGTAAATGATCAACCAGATACAAAGATTTTACGTATGACTGTTCATGTTTTCCAATTGAAATTTCATTTCTCCAGAATAATTGAGTTTTTCTTTTTTCTTTCCTTTCCTTTTATTTTATTTTTGGATAGAATTTGATACAAAGCACAAATGACAAAGACTCCATTATCCTAAGAGCACCCTATTTTTGTACCAAGAGTAACATTTATGACGATTTAGAAATTGAATTAGGCTATAATTAATCAAGAAATTTAGATCGAAATAAAAAGTGAAGATAGAATGCAAAGAGTTGGGGTGTTTTTGTTTTGTTTATTGTCTTCACATTTCAACTTCAATTAAGTTTTTAGATTTTGGCCTTCATAAGTGATACAATTATTGGCTATTATTAGAACATAATAAATCTAATTATTAGGAAGAAAAGGCATTTTTGGCATAATGTAAAATTAAGACAAATCTTACTTAAGCTCTATTCTTCCTAAACTACCATACTTATATAAACAGGAGTATCTGGAAAAAGTTGGACAAAGTAAGGCTACTTGGAACTGTTTTATACCCTTTTTTCTTGTTCTCTTCTACCACATAACTACACTAGGGTGGGTCCCTGCGTGATGCGCGGTCGCCGAGGGATTTTTTTTTATATTGCTGTGCCGAGGAATTGAGTGAGAAGTATATTTTGCAAAAGGCTGCTGCATTGCATTTGCTATATAGACAATTTTTCAAATGTTTTCAAAAGAATAGGTTCATCCGGATTATCGTCTATATTTAGTTTATAGGATCATTCACACATATTTACACATATTTACAGCTAAAGCTTCTTAGAGCTTTTTACAGTTTCAAAAGCATTAAAGTGTTTTAATCTTATATTGTATAGGTGTCGGTGCGTTGTTTTTTTATGGGGCTCTCTGTGAGTTTGAGTGCGGTGAGGAGATTGCTGTCTACATTTTGCTGAAGATTCCGGTGTATGTACAACTTCAGTTATCTCTGACTGTGGTGGAGAGTCGACAAAACAAAAGTGCAATATATAGTAATTCAAAACGAACAAGACATTCAATAAAAAACAGAACAACAAAAAGAAGCATGCACATAAAAACTATATAACGACACTCTTAACAAACGATAAAAAAGCCGAATATTAAGGAAAAAACATAGAATCGAACCTGAAATTGCTAAGCAAACTCGCAGGGACAAGAGGCAGTAACCGAAGTTGCAGACATGAGAAGCAGGAAACGAGAAACTTTGCATGGATAAGAAGTAACAAACGAAGTCGTAGGGATAAAAAGCAGCAAACGAACTAGAAGTAGAGAAAAGAAAGAAAATGCATATTGTTTAAGAGCTGCAAAGAAGAGAATGCAAAATGATGAAGAAATGCAATATGAAGAACAAAGAAACTACAAACAATGTTTATATTGCTTCAGAAGAACCTCGGGAAACTATAGCTGCAGTGGCAACGCACAAACTGAAAGTGGTAGCACAAACTATATATCAGAAGTACAATTATACCCGTGAGTATGATGCATTGGTTGCAGACAAAACAAGCATCTGCAAGGACAATAAAGTTTTATATTCTGTGATTGCTGTATTACTGTTGGCCGGTAAAATAAAGAGTTGAATGGGTTATCTTCTTTGGCACAAATAGAGGCCACACGTCGCAAAACTAAAGCTCCACCTGCAAGGCACAAAAACAATGTGGCGGTACAAATGGGATTCATGTACAATTGTACCCATAACTATGATGCTTTAGTTGGACAAAAAGCAAGCATCCGGAAGGGCAACAAAGTGATTATATTGTATTGCTGCATTGCTGGAGTCCCGTAAAACAAGTATTAATGGGTTATGCCATGATAGCACCGTCTGTCTACGTGAATTTCCTAGAGCAGAGAAACAAATGATGCTTCCCTCCGCATAACAAAGCAAATATAACTTATCCCTAGATTTTCAATTTTTTCTCACCAACAAATCAGATGAAAGTGCAAGGCGAAAAGTGCACCAAACAGTAAACTCTAACTACTTCTTATACATGTGTATACATAAATATTCAACATATAACGGAGGACAGACAAAGCTTTATCTTTGATCTGAGATTATATTCACTAAAGATACGCCATTAGATTTACATGGTGAAAATGAAACTTGGTCGAATGACGTGTCAAATGTGGTTTTGGCAAGGTAACATATAATTTGTCTTTTATTAACTATTGCTACCTCGGTAAATTCATTGCCCGTATGTTGTTCGCTTGTCATAGCAAAAATCACATGTTGCATTTGATTTAGCACAATGCAAAATTTTTTAAGTATCCAAAAAGACATTTTCCCAACTAAGAAAAAAAAAAGACAACCATTTTCTTAATGTATACACTGTTTATGTGGCATTTCATAATTAACTTTCAGCAAATGCCCAATATAACCATTATGGCAGCCAATAAGGACTCAAGTGTCAACTAATTTCCAACTTTTTTTAACCTCTTATATCTTTTCACACCCTTCTCACTCTCGGATTCGAATTTTGAACTTAACAGTGAAAAGAAATCTAAATCAACTTCAACGGTTCAACTTCATTACAGTATAATGAAAAATTTTGAACAGCCAACATGAGTTAGTTCAATTGATAAGGACAGATAAATTTTTTTTTTTTACAAAAAGAGATGTGTTTAAATTCCATTATCAATATTAGCACTATGTTGTTGAACGACTTATAAGTTTTAAATGATTTATGATCCACCTGTATTGATTCTCGAAGCGAAATCAATTCTGAGCAAATTGCAATTCAGGAAAAGAAACCCTTGAGAAGGGCATTATGCTATAAAATGAAATGAATTGGTGAGTTCAAAGCTATGTTTTCAGAACCGGACCGGATAGCGACTCGGCCGAGGTCAGGGGTCAGGGGTCAATGGGTTCGACCGGGGGTCGATAGGGGTCGAACCGGATGACGTCATAAATAAAAATTATTTTAAAATTAAAATGTTATATATATAATATCTAATAATATATTGATATTAATAAAGGCATATTCATATATATTTGATGTTTCAAATATATTTAACAAGAAAATACAAAGAAATTAGAACAATCAAGTAGCAATTTATATTATTTAATAAATATTAACAAGTTTAGAATTAAAATTATGAATTTAATTGAAAAATAACATCAAATTTTAGGACAATATTTATAAAGTATCAAATATTTGAGGTATATCAATAAGTTTTAACAATTTAGGGGGTCAAAACATAATATTAAAAAGTTTGAATTTTTTTTAAAAAAAATACTGTTGAACCGGAAAAACCGGTTTTTTCCCGGTCAAACCCGGTCAAACCCGGTTTTTGACCGGCTTTGACCGGGTTTTAAATTTCCGGTTTTCTAATGTGACTCGGACCGGCTACCTGGCCGGTTCCCGGTTCAACCGGTTCGACCGGCCGGTCCGGTCCGAGTTTGAAAACAGAGGTTCAAAGTGGACTTATTTTGACTAATATAAGCATGAAAAAGTTGATTCATCTCTCGTTATAAGTAAATAGAATTTTGTTTATAAACTCCCCGTGCATTATACGTGTTTTTTTCTTTTGAGGGCAATACGTGCATTATATGTGTTTGGACTTTGGACTTGGTAATCAATTTTGAGGGTAAAAAACAATAATCGACATTAGGAAGGGCCAATAACCAAAGCCAAAATAGAGCCTAAGAAAATTATGAAGTCAAATCTTGTATTCACAGCATCATTACACATCCCTTCAAGATCTGCTCTTGTCAAGTCACTTCACTTCCCACAATCCACTTCACTGAGCTGACTTCCGCACTTAAAAGTGAAAAATCCCACCAAATTGTACGAACAACACCGGATTTCAAACTCAAAATTTAGCTAAAATGCATATACCACCCAGAATCCGCGAGAAATTCCATCGGAATTCGAAAATTCCTCTGCATGCAAAGCCATTTCTTCTTGCAAATGTCCTAGTACCTGTAACGGCTATGTCTGAGATTACCCATTCATGGCCATAATTTTAAAAAATGCAGCTTATTCTGTACTCTTAGTTAACTAGTTCTGCACTCATCACTGCGTCAGCCGCCACAAAAACCTGCCTTTTCCTTTCATCGCGACGACGGAAGTTCCTAGGCTTATTGATAAAATCTCCTTGATTTCTTCAATTTCAACTCTTGGGGAGAAATTTTGGTGCAGGGTCGACGAATTAAGGGCCAAATTCGAGTTGGGTTGGCAAAAAGATAAGATTTTGGAGGTGGGTTTTGGGAATTAGGAGCTAGGTTGCCAGCATTTCTTGGGTTGGGTAATTTTGCCTCGTGGCTCTGTGGGGATTTAAGTTGGGCAATGGATGTTAACGGTTTGGGTGTTTGGATTCGGTGAAGGAGCTTCAACTTCAAAGCCAGCTGATTGAAGCTGGGGTGAAGCTTCTGGTGCCATCTTCTTCTGCCGATGATCTTCTTGCTGCCCTCGATGTAAAGATCATTTCTTTTATGCTACATTTTCTGCATTCTTTTGATGTTGGCTTGATTTTAATTTTGTTTTAGCTATTTTGCATGCATGCGAGAAATCGTGTAAAAATGTTTTTGATTTGGTCTTATTGGGGGTCCTATAATTCGTGCTAAAAGGTTATTTCTTGAGTGTTTTTGTTGATTTAGTTCTTTGTTTTGGGTGGTTGAGATTGTAAATTGGCGCTTTATTTATTTGGTCATGAATTTGCTGGAAAAATGTGAATTCTTTCCCTAATATTGGGTTTGATTTTGTAATCCAAAAAATATAATTGCATACCTTTATACCAGTTGGTAAGAAATAGGCTAGCACCAAGCACGCACGAGGCACTAAGAGTTGTTCCTAGTACATTGTTTCATAATCATTTGAATAAGGCAAAATATTTTATCGCTTTTTGTTGATTTTCGTGATCTTTATTTCTCAGTCTGTAGGTTCATGATTGTTTGATGGCTTACTTCTGCCTGATAAATATTGTGAATGAGGCTGTCCTTTTTCCTTGATGAATTTGTTATTTGTTCAAATTTGTCGCTTACTTCTACATGATTTTGCGTTCCACCTCTCATAGTGTAAATTAACCATCATCCTCTTTTTCATTCTGTTGTTTAGAAAGTAGAGGACCTTTTATCCATTGTGGGTCAAGATCCTTCCAGTTTGATTCAAGATGGGCTCTTGCCTTCGATGATGGCTTTGATCTCTGATAGGCTGCTTAGACATCCTAATACAGATGTCAGGATTTCAGTTATGTCTTGCATCTGTGAGGTGTTAAGGATAAGTGCTCCGCATCAACCTTATGAGAATGAAAGAATGAAGGTAAGCTGAACACCTACAACAATATCTACTCTTTTCTGTATTTGTTTGTCTGCTTCCTATTGTGTACTTGTTTAGAGCCAGTTCTCAGCCTTTTCATTTGCATGCTGTACAGGATATTTTTCGGTTGACTTTAGCTGCATTTGAGAAGTTGTCGCTTTTCTCTGGTCGCTGTTATGCTAAAGCTTTGCACATTCTTGAAATCGTTGCAAAGGTCAGATGCTGCATCATCTTGCTGGACATAGGCTGCGACTCATTGGTCACTAATATCTTTGAAGTCCTTCTAAGTACCATTAAGTAAGGCTAAGATGTTACAGCTAATCTTTAAATGTATTTTTATTGTCAAGACATTTTGATTAACTGCCTTTTCTCTTTGGATCTTGTAGTAATTGATATTTGTTAGCTTCTTTAAATTAACTCTAATACTAACAATTATAGAATTCGAACTTGTAATAGCATTCCCATTATGTTCAACCTTCTTTCCTGCAAATATGATCTGCTTTCAACTTCGTGAACTCCTCATTTAGCAGCAATGAAATTGAAAATTTGCTGGATTCGTGGCAAACCTTTATTACTTGTTGTCGAGTGATCAACTCATGGTTTGCAATGCAACTTGCATAACGGAGTAATTTAGAAAGTTGTACCAAATTAAACAAATTAGAGGTATTCATTTGCTAATCTTGCACCTGTCTCATGCAAGTCAACACATTCAATTGTGATGTGCTGATTGTTGTTCTGTGTTTGAATGTCTAATACAAGGTTCAACCACCCGCAAGCTGTATTCTCGTACATGGAAGACATTATGACTTGGCTTTTAGATGAGAGTGATGACATCCCATTGGGTCTTTTAAAGCCGCTTCTAGCTAGTGTGAAAAAGGAAAACCAGGTACCCTTCCTTATATAGATCTCTGTTTCATTTATTCTTGTTCTTGTTTTATTATTACTCAGTTACCTTTATTGTTTGCCTCAGATTACTTCACCCGTTTCCTCTTGGTTAGGAGAGAAAGTATTAAAGAACTGCTCAACTAAAGTCAGACCTTATCTTATGAATGCAGTGAAGTTAATGAGGCTAGATATTAATGATTATGCCGATATAGTTGCTTCGTTATGCCGAGATATGCCAGCTGGGGACAATGTGGTGCGATATCTTCTATCCTTCAACTGACTTCTTTTTTGGCAAAAGGCAGATGTAGTTATGATCTGTGCTCATCTCCAAATGTTCATGCTTGCTTCTCATATAGTTTTTCGTTGCTCATTGTATTTGTGATGATGGAGATATGTTTGGACTTCCTAAAATTTCTTGTTTGTTCTCCTTCACTTTGTGTATAACGAGACATTAGAAAATATACTAACACTCATCTTCCCTTAACTAATAGCAAAATTTGAAGTCATTCAGTAAGTTAATCAACTTTAAGGAGTAACTTATGCTGTCAGTGGTTGTTCATTCAAATTATGCTATGTGTCCCAGATGTGAGACTGAATCTGTTGTCTCTCATGCATCAGGAAGCTTTTTAGTCTTTAAGTTTGGAGTTCTTTAAATTTATTTGCGAAGTTGACTTTTTCCTAAAGATGAGAAAAAGGTTCTTGTAAGCAAAATTAGCAGACCAGGCATATCAAATGGTTGGTATTCCCCTGCTAATTTCTGGTCGCTCTAGTGTAGATGGTACGGAGTCCATTGTGTTTGTTTCTGGTTTATCGTTCTTCTTTCTGCTGTTGGAGTAGTTGAAATAAAGATATGAGATTGGCTTTGATTTATTTATTTTGAATTAATCAGGTGTGGTGGAAGCAGAAGCATATGCATCTTTTGTTGTGCCAGCAGAGGCTGAGCTTTGTGGTTCACTGCTGCATGATGGCACATCTCTACAGATTGATGATGATGACAGCAGATCAAAGGATGAAATTGAGCAGACGAAGAGCATGGCTAAAGAATCTGTTGCCGCTGAAACTTTAGAAAGTGGAGGAGAAATTCAAGCAAGAGCAGGTGTTGGAATAGTACCAAGTAGCATGGGAAGAGAATCTAAATCTCTGGTAGAACGAGAGAAAGATTATGAACATTCTGGGATGACTGGCAGCCCAAATTCTCTTGAAATGCCTTATAAGAGGAAGAATCATGGAAAAGTCAGTAGCTTGCCACATAGTTTGTCTGCAGAAGAGTCATCTTTTCATCTAGAACCAGAGAAGGAGAGCGAACCAAGTTATTTTCAACCTAGAACAGCACGCTTTAACAGCACACCTCCTCCCATTTCCCAGATCCAAGTGATGTAGGTAAAAGTCTTCAGAGAAGGGGTAGGTCAAAGAAGAAAGGGAACATGGCTAATCATGATAGTGATCTTGATGGTCGCTTTCAGGGCTTTGATGGTCACTTAAGAATAGGATCTTCCAGAACAAAACATGCTGAAGAAAACCCTGTGAGATATTCAAGGAGGAAGAAATCCGCTGTTAAGAATAATATGGAGAGAACTGCTGGTGTAAAGAATGTAGTTATTAAGACGGAAAAAGACATCCATAGTGATTCAGAAGAACAACCACTTATTATATACAAGTTAAAGGATGGAAGAAAAGGAGCAGAAGACAAAAAAGCTCTAAAATCTGAGGTATTGTGTTTGTTCATCAATAAGTCAAGTGGAGGAACTTTGTTTGTATAAGTGATGTTTGGATGCATTACTACCTATGATGATTAAAACCTTCCATATAAGCAAAGTGGACAAAGCTTTTTCACCACCCAAATAGGAAAGTAGGATGTTCAATTTGGTGGAGGGAGTAAAAATTTGATTTTCCAAGTAAAGGGAGAAGCGATTCTTGTAGCTTCAGTCTAAAGCTTTCTACTAGAGAATGTAGATCAATAGAATCATGCTTGGCCTCTGTTGAGATCTTCAGCAAGCACTCCTGGTTTCTCTAATGTGTCTCAGCAGTGATTGCTAAATCTTGTTTCTGTCTCATATGCCTTGTTCTAATGCATTTTTCCCCCCATATAATCTGTGGTGGTTTTTGTATCTTATTTCTGATGTTCCTGTAAATATTTCTTTAACCAATTCAGGTATCCAAGAAACCTAGAATTGCCAAAGAGTATGGTGAAGAATTAGTTGGTTCAAGGATAAAGGTCTGGTGGCCCATGGACAGTCAGTAAGTAACTTAAATGGTTGATAATTCTCTAGACTTTGTATCCATCCTCCATATAGACTTCTTAAATCTTAAATCTTAATGTTACTGTCATTTTGACTTTAGGCTAAGTTGTTCTGCTTCTTTGAAATAACTTAAGAGTAATGGAGAATCTTCTAAGCCGTGTTTGTTGATCTGGATGTTACTTGTTAGATATTTGAAGCTATTTTGATCTGGCTTTTTTTCCATCCTCAGCAAAGCTTTAATATGATTTTTTTGGGCTTCATTTTGACATGTCCTTCCACCTAAACTACATCAACCCCAACTCTCGATGCTCTTTGGCTCAATTTAAAGTCTCTCTGTTTTTATTTTCTGTTGGACGACACCATTTTTAAGTCCTGCCTTATCAGTTAAACACCATCAGTGGAAACTAACTTAGCTGGAAAGTACAAAATTCTCCAAAAAGGATGTTTTGGCTTCAAAAGCATAATTTATGAAGTTCGTTCAGCTAAGCTACTACTATGCAATCAGACAAGACCACGGGTTTCCAACAACTCTGCATAATCCCAAACTGAAAAACTAGGAACCTTATTAACTGCCACAATGAAATCTTTTCAGAGTTCCAGCAAACCTTTCCTTGACCGAGCATTTCTCTGTATTTTTCCTCTCCACAGCTGGGCAATTGCTGCCTGAATCCTCTAATCGTTTTAGTAAAAGGAATTTGATACCGGATTACGAGTAGTGCCCTCAAAATTTCCGTTTGCTGCATCAAGCCAATACTTTCATTCTTGAATAAGCTTTTTCTGATCTTGGAATATGTGATGGAATGACGTTGCCTTGTTGATTGATATAGTTTTACTGGTTGGGAGTTTTTCTGGCAACTTCTGTGTCAATGGTGGTTTGGTAAAAATCTTTGACTATGCTGTAATATGTACAGCATCTCGCGCGCGCACACGTCTGTGCATGCGTGTGTGTATATTTAGTAACTTTGTATTTGAATCAACTTGGGCAATTTTCTGTTATTTCCATTTGTACGAAGCTGATTGATAAAAGAGTACTTTCCTATTATTAGGTCGTGAAACAGGAGAAAAGGATGAGATAGCATCAACAGACAGTGAAAAACTCTTTCCTAGGGTGGAGAAACATATTCGTAAACCAATATAGGTCAGTAGTGCATCTAAATGTTTGCTATAGTAATAAATCTTCAATCTGTTAGATCTAAGCATGACAAAGTGAGGTCAGTACTGAAGCTTTCCTGTTGGATAATGTACTTGATTACCATTAAAGCTTGGAAGTTTGAAGTTGATTGAAAAGGGCATATAGTTTGAGTGTAGGCAGATTAAAGATGGATCGGTAATAGCTTTGTTGATTTGAATTAGCAGAAAAGGAAACAAATTCGAACCTTCTCTGGAGAAATCAACCTATCGGTGAGTAATACTTGGGTCTGAATGAGATTTTATTTTTCCTCTAGGGATAAGTATGTCCTTTTGACTTTGAAAGTTGATATGTTCAACGAATACATGATCATGAATGTATTGTATGTACAGACTCCTTGGTGGCAAGACACCTTGGTCCAGATTTTGCCGAATTGACAATGAACTTAATTTTATGATTAGCACAGGTAGTGTTATTGTTGAAATGGTAAACTGGTTCTTCCATAAATTCCAAATGAAAATTCTACCACTGGGATTGAGATAATTCATCAAACTTCACGTATTACATCGGCCAAACTTGAGCCATTTATGCCATCTTCAGTGTTAGGAAAGAAATGGAATGACATTTTATCTTATTCATTTTCTTTTGTGCAGGTTTTATGAAGGCGTTATTGCTTCTTTTGATCCTTCAAAGAAGAAACATATGGTGATAATTTTTGCAAAGATGGCCTATTTATTTACTATTGCTATCATCCAACTCTCCAAATCCTCCTGCACCCTTGGTTTGCTTCATCCTGTATATTATACCTCCATGTTGTGCTTTTAGGCTGTGATCTTTATCACAAACTTATAATAAGAGAAGAGTACTTGTAAACATTCCCTTTTATCCTTTATGAATATGACCTTTTGTGGTAGATCCATTTGCTACTGCATTTCTCCCTTTGATACATAATAGTCTTAATTACTTTAATATATTTAAGTGGCTATATAAAAATTTTTGCCCCATAATACATTCCATGGAGAGCTGCTGTATCTCACTGGTTTAACATTTTGTGGTGATCAAGAATGTGCTGATAAATGGTTGTTTGTCTTGTGAGCCATCACATGCTCATTTGCTCTCACCTGTGTTTCAGGTTTTATATGTTGATGGTGATCAGGAGATTTTGGATCTGAAAAAAGAACGTTGGTTTCTGCTTGATGACCAAGTCAGTTACCTGATTTTATACTACTCTTCATTGTACATTTTGTAGTTTTCTGTCCCACCCCCATTCGCCCGAAACCCCCCCCCCCTTCAAATGTTGATGGGATGTGATATTATCAGGAGAAAAAGGGCAGCCTTACAAGTTCTGATGCTGCTGCTGTTCGGTAAGCACTATTTGAGAAGGCTGTGTGTATTCCTTTAGATCTTTAAAACGTCTTTCTGTTGAAAATATCTCTCTTTTAACTTAATCCACAAGTTTTCTCAAGTAGTAAATGAGGCACTTTTTGAGGTTGTACTCTGCATTGCCCATATCTGGATCTGCATGATAAGTTTTATGCTCATGTTCAACGTGAGAAAAGTTGATGGTAGTCATTTGCTTGTTCATGTAGCCATGACATTGATTGGGAACTTCTGTACATGAATTTCCTTTTGCTGGGTTGCTTGTTATTGGTGCTAGATGATCGTCTTCTTGCTCATTGTAATGACTTAACTGGTTAGTGTTTTCTTATGTCTAATTGTTTCAAATTGAATAATCAATAAAAGTTGGCCAAAAACGAGGAAAAGGGAGCTATTGTAATCGAAACAACCCTAATATTAACTGTAAAAAAAAAGAAGACAAAAATCCTACAAAACCATGCTATATCAAACTCTTTTCTATGGAAGACGTTTCATGTAATGCTTCATATCTTGCTCATTATTTTTGGTATTTTATGTTTGTTTACTGGACTCTTTAACTCTGCGACATTGCTCTACTTTTGACTATAATAACAGGCATTTCCTCTACTCTAACATGGTGATGTACTTTAAATTAGAGCAGGCATTGGGAGTATAACCACTTAATCCAAATTAGAATTGTATGTTTCTTTTATTTTGTCAATGCTTTTATTTCTTTTCTCATCTGAGGTTATTGTTTGCTTTGGCCGATGAACATCATTGATTCACAGAAGAAGAAAGCGAACACAATAACAAGATAAAACTAAGATGATTCTGTTTCTTCAGATAAAATGTGTCTATTAATTATTGAGTTCTGGAATTTTGTGATGCATTCACGGCATTTTGATAATTTGTGTATGATTGCAATGAAATAAATTGCCAAGGGTTTCATAACAGCCTAGAAATTTCTGCTTTTAGATCCCGAACTCGAGGCCGAAAACGTGGTAGGAAGTCAGCAGCAAGATCTGCTCTGGATATTCTTCACATCAAAACCGAAATCGAGGTTTTGGCAAAGGATGACGAGGAATCAAAGGATGAGGAGGAGAATCTCAGAAGTGAAACTCTCACGGATGCAAGTAAATCTAGCAACTAGAAGCTTAGCTGCATGCACAATCTAAAAAAGCATCTCAGCAAGAACTCAACTGATATGCATGGCGGCAAATCGCTATTACTGCATCTTGAGGGTGGCAGATTAAACTGCTCAAAACAATATATGAGAATATCATAAAGCTAACATCATGGCACTTTTTGAAGAGCAGATCTTCTGAAATTTTGTGGAACTTGATCTTGATACATGCTATGCAGTCGATTTCTGCATTATTTGTAACCTTGTGAAACTTGTGGGGATAGTAGTTAGCTCTTAGGCATAGATAGGGCATGACTTGTTATCTCAGCCATATGGAGCTCTGGCATGACTTATTTGTAGTATATCTCTAGTTTAGGTTCCTTTGCTCCTTGGAATCGCTTTTGGTGCCAGCATGCTGATGTTGCAAATACATGCTTGGTGGAAGTAATAAGTGCTTAAGGCTACTATATATATATATTCTGGTGGTATTCCTGTCTAAATTGGAACAAGTTCTTACTTTCAGAACATTTCCATGCGTATGTTTTTTTTTTTTTTTTTTTTTAAATCTCTGTTTAGAAGTTAGAAAGATCCTTGCAATGAGTTAAATTCTTCCATCCAGATGAACTGGAATATCTTAATTAAAACTGTGCTTTGCTGACTGATGAGTAGTCAAAGAAAGAAAATATGTTTGTCTTTTGTGCTTTTAATGTTTTGTGAGGGTTCATTTGGATTAGATTGGGAATGCAAAGGGTTTATGCTATTTTGGGCACAATGCATAACATGGTCGTTTACATTTTGCCATTTGTTCTTGGCAAACATACTAGCTTAATTCTTTAAACAATAAAATACAACAGACTTAAAAAGCAAAATGTCAAATAAAAATGGAATTTTTATGAATTTTCTGTTGTTCTCTAGAATTTTTTTTTTTTTTTGGGATCTCTCACTTACATCCCTTTACTTTTCTCTTGATGTTGCTTGTCTAGTTTTATGGTAATATAAATTTTGGTACGATTTCTGAGTGTAAAAAGAACAAAATATTCAAAATCCCCGCCCCCACCCCACCCAAAAAAAAAAAATTCCATAGTGGCTTTTGTTGCATCGAAATATATTTTTATCACTTGTGCTGATAAAATACTCAACATCCTAAAACTTTTATCGGGGAAAAAAATTAATACAGAATGTGATGTGAACAATATGATGGCACATTACAGATATGCATATGAGAAATTATTTTCCATGAAGTACAATTACAAAGTCCAAAAGGAAAATTTAGAGTCAGCATAATTATACTTCCTCTGTCCTATTGAAACTTAAAATTGCCATCCGTTCTATTAAAATTGTCAGACTTTTCATTTTTTGATATTTTAAAATGTTTGTCATGTTAAAAAAGTTAAAAATTTAAAATGTTTATCACGTTTTTGAGATTTTCCTTTTTGTCTTTTCTTCCAATATAGTCTTTTTATTTAATCATATTCATATTATCATTTAAATTTAAATTTTAAATTTGTCAGAATAAAATTTAAAAAAGAAATACAAATATCACAATCAAAATATTCTTAAAAAGTTGTAATATTGAAACATGACAAATAAATTGGGATGAAGTAACTAAATCATGATATTCAAATAACACAATAATCAAAGAAGTTAAACTAGAAAATATACGAATACTAATAAATAAAAAAATAAGTAAACTAATTCGATCTTACAAATGTTTGAAATCACATTTTCAAGTTGACTTTCGCTTAGAAAAAAAAGTAATTCTTTATTGTTGAGAAAATTCCAACGCGATGTCATGGAAAAGAGCCAAACACATGCGGCGGCTCCTGACTCCTAAGAAGAGATATCCAATGACTGCTAGTCTCTTACGGCCGGCCAAGAAAAGATAAAGAAAACCTATTGACTACATGACTAGTCTCTCTGGCCGAAAAGAAAGGAAATTACACTATTGACTAGTCTCCTATTACTTCTAAAAAATTACTACTACTATTTCAAATCGAATTGTCCAACGAATTCCAACCTATCCGAAAAGGAAAAAAACAACAATCCTCTGGTAAAACATTGTGACCCCACTCTTGAGACTTAGCTATATATCGCATTTCAACTCCCTAGCTCTCGGATGTGCTAAGTTTTGAATTTGATGTGACCACGCTGATTAGCATAAAAATTCAATGAAAATCACGTCTTTAATCCCTTTTTGCTCCAAATCCCTACAACCAATGATAATTACCAAAAATAAGTAGAATCCACCAATTAACGCAATGTTTAGTAAAATAAAATAGGAAAATAATCATAAAATTAATGATAAAATTTCAACCTATCACGTTATTAAGCGAAAAAATAAATGTACTCGTCAAAAGTGGGAGCAACAAATAAAATTTATCAATTGAAATCAGTGAAGCCAAGGTGTAAGATGTATTATCACATTTTAAGTGGTATTAGGATAAATGAATACTCTTATTCTGTTTCTACCTTATCAAGTTGTTTTGTTATCCTAACAGACCATCCCCTCCTTCCCCTACCCTCAAATTTGGTTTACAAAATCATTAACTTGCCTGAGTCAGAATATGTTTCCGTCAATTTGAAACTAGATTCATGATGGACTTCCCTGTAAAATTAGCAATTCACCAAAAAAAAATTTTTTTGACAACAATACTAAAAGCATTGACATAAGCATCAATATTTCAAATGGCATGCATAATGACGCTACCTTTAATTACTTCTTTAGTTTTTTTTTTTTTTGGAATGATATGTGCATTTTTTTTTCATTTTTTCACTTTTGACTTTGCATGACAGTAAAAGAGATTATGTGGTTATTTTTAAATCATACATTTTAGTATTTAATTGTTATATTTTGTAAGGATATAATTATGTGGAAACCATGTGAGTTAATATTAGTACGACGAAAAAATACATAGAAATGCAATATAAAGAATTAGTCAATTTATGAGATAGTAATATAAAACCAAAAAAGAGGAAAAGACAGAAATAATTAGGATCATAGTCAAGGCAGACCATTTCCAAAGCCAAGGAATTAATATCCCAGTAAACAATCAAAAATAATTTTCATAGTCTAATAAATACTGTAGAGCTCTTTGATTTATTTTTTAAATTTACCATATTTGTAACACCGTTTTATCACATTGTTACCAAAACAACAGAAATCTATCGAACTTGTGTCCTACCTGAACTCAGCTACATTATTACCAAAATCTTGAATCTTTTCCTTTCCAAACTTGGATATCTCCAAACCTATATAAGTGCATACAACCACTGCAATCTCATTCGTAGTCACCATCTTCAAGAGAGAAAAAAAAAAGTAAGATCATCTTCAAGAACCAGAGCAAGCCCATAAGAATTTAAGATCGTCGGAATGGCAGCAGTTTATAGTTTCGTTGATACAGCTACGGACCCTTTTAACAACAGTGATCTGATGGAGTCACAACAACAATATATGCAAGCAATAGCTCTACCGGCAAACTTTGTTTCGCCTTGGGACGACGAAGATCACCCGGAAAACTTCATCCCAGGCCGGAGGACCAGTATCGACCTCAAAGCATTCAAGAATCTTGGGAGGAGGATGAGGATCAGCCCGAAAATATTCCGCCACCGAACAGCATTCAATATGGTGGCCACTGGGACATTCCTCAAGTATATGATGAGTACGAAGACGATGGTGAATCTGATGAAGAGTTTGTTGATATACTTGGAGAACTGGCCGAACTGAATGGGGAGATCGTCACGTTTGGGAATGAACTCGGTGTAATTCTAGGTTTTGATGTATTATTGGACCAACGAAGTAATCTGTCCCAAGAAATAATCGCGGAACATCTGCAAACTCTGAAGTATCAAAAACTTGCCAAGCAAGATGAAGATGAAGATGAGGTTGATGAACTTTGTGTAATATGCCAGGATGAATTCAAAAGTGGAGAGATGTTGGGAACTCTAGGCTGCAGACACGAGTTTCATGCAGATTGTATCACGAGATGGTTGCAAGTGAAGAATGTCTGCCCATCTGCAAGCGCATGGCTGTTCATCATCAAGAAATCTAAGAGTTTCTCGGCGAGTAATCCCAACTTTTTAGGCCTGGTTGGAATTTACTGAGCAAGGTACTTTGTAAATCAATTGATCAGGAAGCTTGCTACCGTTGCAGTAGCTCTATACCTGCTCTAGAACGAGAGGAGTCAGAGGATTTTTATGAAGAAAAACAGTCTTTGCTGGCTGGAGATAGATGCCCAATACTCGGCTGAATTGACAAATTAGTGTGGTCTCGGAATTGTGATTATGCATCTTCACTAGAATTGAGTGTGGTATAGTATACTTGAACTATTTGTAAATAGTTTAGGATTTTCTGTTTAGTCTCAGCCATGAAATTTGCATGAATTGTATTTTGCGATATCAATACTTACCAAAATAAATTTAAAAAAATAAATAAATAGAAGCTCCTCCTAAGGTTTACTGGGGCTCAATCTACTAGTGAACTTCAAACACAAGGCTGCTGTTGTTGCCTGGTTTTCAACGTAAACAAGAAGTTCTATTTATGGTGAATTGGGATGTGGAGACATTACTGGGATATGAAATAGGTGAAGGACGCGAGATGACAATCTCAGAACCAAAATCAGACAAATTTCCATATCCCAGATATCCAACATGTTACTTTCCGGTGAATCATTTTCTTATTGCCACTTGAAGTTTGTGATGGATTGTACTTTCATCATTCTTAGAGCTTGAATCTTGATGAAGGTTACAGAAATGGGCACATGATTCTCTTGAATGGAACATTCAAATCAGGGCAGAGAATTGGAATGGCAACAGGGCCAAACGTTTCAACTTGGTTGTTACATTAACCGGATGACATCTGATTCATCAGACTAAACTAAAAAGATTTTCATATTCTTCACGAATGATATTTGCAATTTCCCATCAAAATCATGCATCCTGTTATCTTTCATGCTAAGAAGTGAAAATAATGCACAGTAGGGAAACATCTCGACATTCAGACACATGGCTGGTTTCCTATTCTTCCACGAACATTCATTTCAACGTGAAGGCTGAATCATGCATAACAATCTGCAGAAATCCATTCAGTAGATTGAACACCAATTTTAAAGGTAAACTTTATTTTCAACAGAAGAAAAATTGCATTGAAGGAGAAAAGAATGCCATCTATATAAAATTTCCATTCTGAACACCTATTAATATGGTTACAAGAATTTGATACATTACAATCAGACAAAACTTTAGCCGCCACAAGAGTTACCTACACTTCCACCTTTCTGTTCAGATTTAACCAAAGAATACTAGAGCCCTCTTCTGGAGTCCTGCTACACAAACAAGTCTCGGTAAGATTTTGCCCTTACGCTCTGGAGTCTTCTTCAACCCAAGTAAATAAATTACGTCCTATCAACAGGGAGCATGCTACTCCAAAGAAAGCAGTATTCTCCTTTGAAAGGCCAGAGGGCATTGTGCCAAAAATTACCTAACTGCAATATGGAATGAAACAACATTTGACCCATTAGGTGGCCTCTTTGGCAATTGCATATGCAACCGGAGTTCTTGATCATGCCATGCAGCCAGCTCAAGACATAGAAGATCATCTGCTTTTCCATGGTCACCGTGTTACCAACCAGCCTGGTTTATATAAAACATCTTCCTTGAAATTACGACCTGTGACAGAGGTGGATTCACCTTGACGACGAAAACACTGTATAGAATATTATTCTTGATTAGTTACTGCCAGTTCAACAAACTGAAAATATTTTAAACCCTCTATCTAGGCAATAGATGCAATTACTATCTCCCAATCCCAACAGAAACCAACAATCTGAAAGGCTTATCCTTCACTGCAATGATACAATATATACCATTCATTCTATTGCTATGGTGATTAACTCTTCAAATAAGACTTTTTTTTTTAACCATAATATGGATATTAGCTCAATTCCAGCCAACTTATTTAACGTGTCAGGCACCTAGCCTTAGACTCTCTGACAGCTCGCTGTACCAAGTGATGAATTAACATCTCAAATCCAAGCTCTTGTTCAATCATTACATGTTTTGTGGGATCATGCTCAGTCTCTTGAATATTTAGACCTCATATGGACTTTTTACAAGGCGACATATATTATGTTAGACAATTATCAGCATATGCTATGCTTCCCAACTACGTTTTGGAGCATATTACTTCACCTGAGCACTCCCACAGGTCAAAGCATATATAACTATGTTACATGGACTTGGGTGCCAATGCTGAGTGACGTACATGCCATGTGCCAGATATCTAATAATACGGGGGCACAGCTATGGTACCTTAGATTCTGAATGGAGGATATGTTTGAAACCACTACTACATTTGCTAGAACCTTGGGTTGGTTTCGGTGGGTAAGGATGCGGAAAATGCTTAGAGAATGAGGAATGCTCCGATGACCATAGAAAGTTAAATACTAAGTGGCTTGATGGTATGCCAATAAGGCATAGGAGACAAATTTAAAACTTACTAAAACTAAACAAATAAAAGGAGAAAGCCAAATTACTCACCTTATAGCAGACAATTGTGTCATCTGGTACATTGCAAATAATTTGGTTCCAAGCCGAGCATGACAAGAATCACAAACACTCTCATCATTGATCAGCACGTGGCGTGACCTTTCCTCCAATCGTGCCAAGCTCGCATCGACATCTAAAGCACGGGATAGATTATGGACAATCTGAAGAAAGTTACCAGATTATCATGTCTCACACCCAGGAGGGAAAGATTCATGTACAGAACAAACAATGAGACTGCAAACTTTAAAACTGGTCATGCCAGACAAAAGAAAGCAAACAAGCTCATCTTGGCCATTGGTAGTGGTCAATGTAAGATCACATGTATGTTTGGAAACAACCAATAAGAAATGGTTCATACTGAGTTAAACTAGTAGGCAGATTGGAGACTATTCAATCCCAACTCCTTTTCCATGGGGTGGGAGAAAGCTTGCATTTGATTTTGGTTGACATCAACAATAAATTTTTTATGGCCCAAAAGCAATAGATAACTTGAGACCACTTCATGCAATAATTTGTAAAATCCATGCATCAACAATACACAGAGTTCATATTTATTCATCCATGTCAATATAATAGGCTTCCAAGTAGAACAAGATACAAAGGCCTCAAGGGTAACAGCTTGAATAATGCCATATGCTTCATTTCTTCACTGGCTAAGAAAATTGTGTTTTAACTTGTTATTAAGAAAGATTAAGATCACCGTAGACTTCCATTTTCCAATCAAAGAGACCGCAAAAGACAGAGGTAGAGACTCAAAATAAAGTAATAACTATTTCTTTTACAAATACACGTTTTATTGTAGAACCTATCACACTTCAACTATCCAACACTATGTATACCTGTACAGAAAACACGTGCTTTTTTTTTTTTTAATGAAACTACAAATTACTTAATAACTATAACTATCAGAAATACCTCTTTTCTCCCAGTTAGTTAACTGAAATATCTGTACACAGAAAACCCGCAAATTACTGGAGACCCCAAGGCATCAGCTTTGACAATGCTGCAAGGACAAGATTAAATTTCAGCCTTCTTGCTGGAACAAATTGTATTCTGAGCTAGACTCGTTCTTTGCAACCTGCATGTCATTAATGCGGCCTTGATTAGCTAAATGAATTAAAGAAGCATTTTCCTTAGTTTCATTTGCTTACATAAACAGGAAACAATCAAATGAAATTTATACCTCAGCCACCAAAAAAAAAAAAAAAGGCACTGAGTGAACATCCTACGGTTCAGACAGGCAGCACACTGATGCTATCAGTATACAATTGTAACCATTGTAAACCTGAAACTGTTTCCTACAAGTAACCATTCAGGAGAAGATCCCCTTTAGCTCGTCACCACAATAAGCAACAACTGCCAGGGTGCAGATTTCCAACAAAATACTTATGGAAAGAGATTTTACCATGCTGGTTCAAGAAAAATTAATTTCTAGAGTCTGATTCTTATGAAGATCAAGCCTGAATGATAAATAGAATGAGAAAAATGAATATTTCAAGCATGCTGCAGAAAGTGCTAGTAAGCCTAAATTCTAAGGCTAAACCACCTTTTGTATCAGGTATGAATTGTCATCAAGCTAAGAAAGGATACTTGCCTAGCTAAACAAAACCCACAAATTCTATTCATTGTCTAATAAAACATGAACATTCTATAGAAAAGGAATGTGTTTCAAAAACTGAACTGTTTCCCTAAATATATTACGTCAAGTGCAACTCAAATAAGTAATTGCCTCAAAATCCTATGCTCTGTTTGGATGGGAGTGTTTTTCAAAAACTAGTTTTTCAAATACAATAAAAATTTTTAAAAAGTACTCTAAAAGGTAATCTAAAAATTAGTTTAAAATTTTAAAAAATATCTCAAAATATATTCTAGAAATTCTTCTACTCTTAAATATCCCAAAATATTTTCTAAAAATATTCCAAAATATACTCTAAACACTCTGCTACAGCAAAATTTTTCAAAAATACCCCCAAAAACAGCCAAAGAAATCCTAGTTCTTGCAACTCAAATAAGTAATTGCCTCAAAATCCTGGTTCTTCCAAGTTCTTGCTAAAGAATCTTTATGTGAAAGTTGCTGTAAAATTCTTACTGTGTCTCAACGTCAATAACAACTTTTTTGAGTGTGTTTCTTTTCAGTTTTTACTTGAAGAGCCACCCGAAGAATTATGGATACAGCAGTTCACCTAGAGGTATTCTCTTGTAATTGCATTACATAACCTTAGTGCTTTAATTAGAATCTTTTTCACATATCCAAAACCAAAAAGTTAAAAATTAAAAAACCTATAGCATGGACTAACAGGTTAGAGATTGTAACTCACGCAATTTTAGAATGAAAAAGATGAAGCTTCAGCAAACGAAAACCAACCTCAGAAGTGCGCGAAGATCCCACAGGAAGAACTGAAACAAGACTGGTCCAAAGAACAGGATCATTTAAGGAATCAATAGAGTTGTAGTTGGTCACAAGTGGAGCAGTCAGTAAGGGAGTTAGTGGGTAAACATTTCTTGGAACAGGTAATCCTCCAGTCATCCCAAGTCCAGCTCCAACTCTCTCATTTCCACCATCATGACTACATTTTTCAACCCCCTTGCCGTAGTCCTTTTTGTTAATAACATTTTTATCTTCATTTTCATCATTCTCATCTATTGCTTTCTTCTTCAATCCTTTTTCTTGTAAGCTCTTAAATGCTGTGGATTGTGACAAAATGCTCATAGCAGACACAGCACCTTTTCGGTGTTTTCCTTCTTGAGGCACACCCAATCGTGGCATCTCATAGGGTTCAGTGGGCTTAGCTGTCAGTTCTACAGATTTAAGTTCACTGCTCATGTCTTCACCAGGGCGATATGATGTTTCCTCTGATGATTTAGCGTGTGGATCTACTTGACGTGGTTTATTGGTCCCCCACCACTTGATATAAGTGGTCAAATCAAACTTTCTATCAATGCAAAAGCCACCAATATATTCATTTTCTGCTGTTGCATCATCAGCTGCACCTGATAAGAGGAGAGGAATGCCAATAATTTGGTAACCAAACCACAAACTAAAACCTAAGAAGTTTAAGTAGGCAGAACACTATGAAACCTATAGATCTGTAGAAGATTTTTTCCTAGTAACCCGTAATTTTTTTCTCCAATGTCTAAATTTAGTCACCATATCGAATGCTGGTGAAGTAATCAGCCCCAGAAAACTGACCAAATTGTGGATCCCATCGGCTGCATACACAAACAAACAATAAAACAGAAGGAAAACAACATTAAAAACACATCCAAACATGAGTAAATACACACACACACATATATATATTATATACACCACTGAGAAACCAATGATGGCAATCTCTGATAACATAAGCTTTCAGACAATACATTTGCCTCAAGCTAAAAAACAGTAACTTATGGCTCACATACTACTAAATAAAAGCCAATGTCAAAAATCTAGTTTATGCATTTGTACCTTGAAAGAGGACGATATTTGGAGACTCCTCTTGAGAAGCCACTACTCTTTCTGCAGAAAAGCATGTCATAAGGAGCATGTCATAAGGAACATTACAATTATTCTAGTATAACATATACAAGGTATACAAACCTTCGAAGGGATGCGAGATAGTCTTCTCTTGAGAAATTTTGCATCTCTTCAAGGTCCCTTGTATAGTCAGTAACCTATACAGCATATGAATAGGAATGATTCTCACAAGAATAACTCCAGCAGTACATGATATTGTGCTCTTAAATGAAGGTCTCTAAATGTACACTATCAGATTTGACAGGAAAAGAAGAGTAAAGCTATTCTTCCTTTTTCTTTTGGGAGATGGGGATTTTCCTTTTACATTCATTTATAAGAAAACTAGTCCGTGGCATCATACTGGAAAATTAATGAGTGTTCCAGGGCCCCAGTATTTCAAGGCAGCAAGATCATATGCTCTGGCTGCTGCCTCCTCATCATCATATGCACCTATAGGCATCATATTTGTTAAAGTTAATAGAGGTGGATATCACATTCAGTTTGAACTTTAAAAAGACAAAGACTACCAGTGAAACTGCATACCCAGGTAAACTGCCCATGAGAATCAATCACCAACCAGTATCCATATTTCCATGCAACAGAAGAGTTGGACAAAAGGTCAGGTCAGAATTTAAATGAGAGGTTCAGATAGTGATTTTTTAAATGCTAATAGAAACAAATCTACATGTACATCTATATAGATAAGCAGAAAATAAAAACCTTGCTTTCCCTTTTTATTTTGGTTTTGATTCCAGGTGCTTTTATCCCAAAGATGAGCTTCATATCGTCCTGTCCATCTATGCCTATGAGAATAACAAAGACAAGCTCACAAATGTAAGAATATAAATAAAGAAACACAATCAACTGATTCAAGGATCTTCAGAACAGAAAAGCTAAGAGAGAACAAAATCTACAATTGCACCTGCAGAGCTTTTGCAGACTGTCATGAGGATTCTAACTTTTAGGATGATTACAGCAGTATTATTCAATGTAAAGTTTATTACTTGAGATAACTTTTTGCTGAACAATCCAATATCAGCATATTTTGATTTTTAACATCCAAAACCTACAATATGTTCCTCTATTGAAGATTTTAGATTAATTCATAATGCCATCATGATTGGAAAAAATCCACGTACATGCACCACATAACAAAGACAAAAACTAAATATATTAGCTTTCAGGAAAAGTTGACCCGTTAAGTGTAGAATTTCATCCATAAGCCAAGGTTTGAAACAGTATGAGCTCAAAATTTTTTTTTTTTTTTTGTTTTTTTTTTGGGGGGGGGGGGGGGGGGAACGGGGGGAATGCATATGCAATAAGGAGATCAACTCCACCCATCCACTTCCCACTGAATCTCTCCAGATAGTGCAGAAAAGGCGTGAAGCTACTAGATTTTGTCAACTCACAATCATCTTAGACATGAATTAATGATTCGCAATATGCAAGATCCACTCTGTATTTTAAATAGAAAAAATTGATTATCAAATGCAGTGCCAAGGATTGTACCAACAGAGTGCTCACTGAATAAGATGCTACTGATGTTGCATCGTGGAAATGGCAACAGTATTGCTTTTCAAACATATAGAAAATTAAAATGGCATATGAGGTTTAACAGCTTGTGACAACCCTGGTTATCTGGTCTACTTTAAGGTGTGGTAACCACAAATGCACATGCTTCAAACTGCCCAACATCTTCAAGGATGCCCATTTACTAAATTGTGTATAATAAACCCCTCCAAGATGGGCAAGACTTTACACTAACAAAAAGACGTATATTCCCCACCCTCACATCTCAGTCATAGGCAACGGCAAAAACAAGTTATGGAAGAAGCCAACTGCTATCTTAACAGATGCTGAGCAT